TACATTTTCTTGGCATTGTACAGTATTGAGCCCTTAACTAGTTCTGAGCTCGGAAAATATCGTGCTCCGCATTCCTAAGTGGATAGTTGTGGGAAGGCCTTTCCGGAATAGAGAATATGTGCTTGCGGATTAAGCAAACGGATTCAATTTTGTATATTCAGTATTTTGAAATTTTTAAAGAAATTCTGGCAGTGAGTTCTACTGTTTAGTCCAAATAAGTATCCAACTGCTCAATTTTGAACTTTGGTTTGGTTTGGTCAGTTCCAGATAAGAATTTATTTTTAATACTTTTAATAGTACTACGGAGCTCATCTAATGCTACGGGCGTGAAGAAGAAACTGTGTAAATTCTCATTATTAGTAAATTCTCATTAGATCGGATTTGCTAAGAGAATGAATTGCTTATTGGGCTAGATATACAGGGTGGTCCGAACTGTATTCCGGAAACTTCGGCAGCATATTCTACAGATTAAAATAAGTCAAACACTTTGTATAAAAGTATGTACTAAAATGCTTAGTTTTGGAGATACAGGGTGTCGTTTCATTTTTATTTCGATTTTTTCCAAATAATTTCTAAAATAACGTCAATATTTAGATGAAAATTGGTGTCCGGGAGTCTTTTGGCATGAAAAATTTGATTTTGATGTCAATATGACTCCTACTTGTAGAGGGCGCCACCGACATATTTTTTAACTGGTTTGAAGAGTAATAACTTTTTGTCCGCGCCTGTATAAAACTACTGAGTGAAAAAAATATACATTTCCGTGATTTTTTACGTAAAAACTGTCACTTGGTAAAAATCGCTACGAGCAATCGTTCTCAAGATATTTATTTTTACGTCATTGTTGACAAAAAATAAACATGTTGAATAGATAGTTATTGGACTAATAACTATGTAGTCAACATGTTTAATTTATGTCGTGTTGTTTAATTATGTCGATTAATTTTCATGTAAATATTGACGTTACTTCAGAAATTTTATAGAAAAAATCGAGATAAAAATAAAACTTTTACACCCTGTATTTCTGAAACTAAGCATTTTAGGACATAAACTTATATGAAATTTTTACTTAATTTTATTTGTAGAATATGACGCCGGAGTTCAGGTTCGGAATACAGTTCGGACCATCCTGTATATCGCTATTTGTTTCAGGAAGAAATTCTTTGAAATCTCAATCAATTGATTTGTTTAACAAAAAAGAAAAAAAAGTCCCATAATACACCAAAACACTTTACTTTTGCATTGGACATTTTTTTTTTTAGAATTTAGAATGAGTGGGAGGGGGGTTAATCACTTCGACCTTACAGATCCATTGTGTCCCCCTTTCTTGAATCATAACTCATCATACAGTCCCAGGGCTTTGACAAAAGCCAGTATCTGGGACGGTTTTATAGAGGGTAGTTCTCCATCTCCAATATCAGTCGTACCAACATTCATGGCACGAATGGTTGTCGTCTCGGCGCACTCAGTGATGAGGTGTACTGGTGTTTCCCCATCTTCTCCACAGAATCTGCATTCGCCGTTTCTTCTTAGTTTCAATCTACTGAGGTGTTCATTGAGGAGTGTCCTGTTAAAAACCCCGTGACAATCCGAAGATTGTTCTTACTCAGACCCAGGAAGATCTGTGATTTTTCTTGATCATAAGCCCTCAGAAACTTCTTCGAGTGTCTTAGACCATTGCAAGATTTCCATTCCAGGTTGCGGATGGAATTTTCCAAGTTCTTGAGTTCCGCCTTGAGTTGGTTACCACTGGAAAGCAGAACGGTTCTGGTCCAGTTAGTGGAGTGTTCGCTCCTTTCCTAGCTAGATTATTTGCTTTTTCATTGCCTTCTATCCCTTGGTGAGCAGGCACCCAGTGTAGGAGGACTTTGTTTTCTTTGCCTAATTTATTCAGCTTCTCTATGCATTCTTTGACCAATTTCAAATCGATTGATACTGAGTTGATCGCCTTTAACGCTGCTTGACTATCAGATAAGATGGCTATTTCTTGTTTCCGATAGTTCCTATCTAAGATAAGTTGTACGCATCTCTCGATAGCGTAGATTTCTGCCTGTAGGATACTAGGGTAAGTGCCCATTGGTTCGAGTAATTAGCTCTCGGCCCAAACACTCCGATCCCTGTTCCCGTATTGGTTTTGGAAGCATCAGTATACCAAGTTATGGTATGGTCTTTTAACTGCTGGGCAAGCGTTTCGCTCTTCCAATCCTTCTTATTGCTCAATACTACATTGACATGTTTGTCAGAGTTGTACGTTCTTGGCATATCGTCCACTGGGAGTTGCAGGAGTGGTATTTCCTTTTTGAGGGTGTTCCAAGCCCCTGATCTGACAATTCTCCCAGTACTAATTCCGTTAGTGACCGTTAATCATTGTCGCATTGGCATATCTACCAATGACAATGTGCATGCATTGGACATCAACAGGTGATTAAAACTCAGTTTTCATCATTATGTGTTGTGGTAAAATATTGTTATTTATTTTGCTGTTGTAACACAAAAGGCTCCAACCCCAAACTGTAAAAATATTTTTACATAATTTCAGCCCACAGGAAACATACTGTATACTTCCTTTTGAGCTCTGCTTTATATTTTCTTCTAGTTTCCCTTTTTCCCTCTTTCGGTAGGGCATCGGAAGGCACGTAGCCCTCGTCCAGTCTCGCCCTATTTTCGCTGGGAAATCACGAAACGGACGGAAAATCGTATCGCGAATCCGATAATAGGCGAGGAATCAGTGGAGAACGCGCCGGAACACGTACGCCGGAATTTCGATATAAACCTGAACAAATTGGCTGCCGGTGGTGGTGGAAGCCCCCACAAAAGAAGGAGAGACGTAGTCTTTTGTGGAAAAAAAGAATATGAACAACGAAACGGAGATTATTTATTTAATACCATCGACTGTCGGTTGGGAATTGTGTGGGCTATCGTGCGTTGAATAGGAGATGATATAAGCTGGGCTGGCACGTAATCGAATTTGATGTTTTGTATTGTTAGGAATCGAAAAATGCGTACAACTTATCTTAGATGGGAACTATCGGAAACAAGAAATAGCAATCTTATCCGATAGTCAAGCAGCTTTAAAAACCATCAACTCGGTAACTATCAATTCGAAGTTGGTTAAAAAATGCCAGAAAAGTTGAACAAATTAAGCAATAGTTATTTTTTATACATTAATAATTAAAAAATTGTAACGTTTTTAGTTCGTTACATGTCTTTTTTATATATAAAATATGATGTCTGGCCTATCATCACCGGATTCCCTCTTGTTCAGGCCGGATAGTTTATTTGACGCGCTCGGCGTAATTTTTACGTTCTCTAGTCCACAACCCTGATATCGTTTGACGCAACCCTGTTATCGCTCTGTGGAGGCGCTGTCAACATCGCTTCTGTCAACTCTCTCACTTTTGCTTTTGCCGCTCTGTAGCCTAACCTAACCATTCCGGCTTTTAGAAATGGTAATAATTTAAATCTTGCTGCAATATCTGAATCAGCTGCCATTTCGAAGCTACATGTAGATATGAGTTATTATCTTTTATAGATTCGATATTATTATTGAATATTTTTAAGGTAGAGTTTTGGATTGACCCACCTTAACTCGTATTTATATTTTGCTGGCACATTGGTGTTCTTTTGCTTTTGTCCTACAGAATGTTACATGGAAGAAAAGACGGTTTCTTTGTTTATTATTGAGCCCTCGGAAGTATTTCGAGGTAGGTTTATTTTGTTTATTAGGCCTTGTTTGGTTTTAAACAAGAGTTTCGTATTTTTAGGGTCTTATGGACGGACTGTGTCCAAGGTACGGGTAGTGTTCCCATGTACCGTTTTCTTATTTATCTTATGGACGTACATTGTCTTATGGACGGACTGTGTCCAAGGTACGGGTAGTGTTCCCCTGTACCGTTATCTTATGGACGGACTTTGTCCAAGGTTATAGTCCAAAGTTATGGTCCAAGTTACGGACATTATCCAAGGTCCTAGTAGTGTTCCAAGGTACGGGTAGTGTCCCCATATTGTCACAGTATGGATACAGTGTAAGCCCCATGCTGCTTCGCTCCCATATCTAACCCTAGTCAGTAGCTACGGCTGTATTGATTCATGGTGTCCTCATTCTGGCCCCTTTTGTTGTTTTGGCCAACAGGATCGCCGACAGACAGTACAGAGATGCGAGACCACCTCACGCTGTTACTGTTTGAAGCAAGATTACATAAAGAACAGCTAAGTGTAGATTTAAGTTCTAGTTTTACATTTAACATCTAAAACATTTTCAGTCTTAAACAATAACGTACATCTTAAGTAATATCGTAAAGATTATGTTTAGTGGTTAGATTGTTAAGAACATTCATATCGATTTAATATTTAAAATATGATTTAGATCTTAGGTTTCATTACATTACGTCTTGTAATGGTATTACTTTCATAGATATTTAGTACAACTCTTAACACCATTTTTTTTACATATAACCACTATATATTTATTAGAACTCTACAATGTCATGTACCAGCAAAGAACATCATGAATAAATATAGTCATTAGTTTGAAGTAATATACAACTGTGTTTTCTTTCTCGTACAATACTGGCGCCCAATATCTATTTTTTTTGTTCATTGTTATTACTTAATTTTCTTTCCAGTGAAATACCTTATCCACGACTGCTCTCCGATGAAAAGCTGCCGTTCGCAGTGGTAATGTTTTATAAAAAACGTTACAAAATATTCAGAAATTATTATTTCAAGTAATTTATTACGAGTAGAAAAAATATTGTGCTGGGTTGGCGTTGGTTTTTATGTAATTTGACAAATAAATAAAGCTGTCTCTTTGGTTGTCAGTTTTGAGTCAATCTCAATCATCTATCAGTCTATCATCGCTGTTAAAGTATCATTTAATCTGCCCTTGTGGTTAAAGTACTATTTTATCTACTATTTTTGATAGATATAAGGCAATTTTAAGAGTTGTTTTTATAAAGGTGTATGGAAACTTTAAACACAGGCGTACAACTAATACTTACCAGTTTTGGTTGAGCGTTTAGATCGTGCAATGGCATCCCATTCCTCAGCGTGCAATATCCCATATAGCCCGAATTTCCTGCCGCTTGGTGCAGGAGGCTCCTGCTGGGAGACGATGTTTCTATCGTGGACACGTGCTGCTTTTTCCGGGAATAGTCCGATCCACAATCGTCAGTGGCGTCGACAGGTTGCGGGATTATATCCGGGTTTTTCTCATCACTGTCACACTCCCCTGCACTGGACTCGTGTTTGGATATTGGACTGCCACCTACAAAAAACAAAAAACAGGTTTGTCCTCTAAAATATATTTTTTTAAATATTCAGACATTTATAAATGATAGATAATTTTCGATCTATTAAGACTCGTACACAGGAAAGAAAAATTGCCAAATAAATTTCAAATTTTTGTAAACACTTCAATATATTTTTTTTATAACTTTTGAATTTATAAGACACGTTTTGTTAATATATGATTCTATGTAAAAAAAATGTACTTATTTTTTATAATATTTAGATCTACAGTAGATCTCCGAATTTTCTTTTCAAAAGGAGTTGGGTAAGTTAGAAAATAAGATTTTTTTTCATAATTTCTGAACTTATGATACACTTTTTCTTAATATATCTTTTTTTATAAGAAAAAACTCTTTATTCAATATAATTTATTACACATAGTATAAATTATCTATTTTAAGAAAAAATAATTTTACTAAGTAAACAGAGAACTTTGTCTAACAATCTGGTTCGACAATTCGAGGTCTAAGAAACGTCTCGCTCCAAAGTTTAGCTCTAAAAGCGTAAGGATGCGGTGGAGGCAACAATCCTCCTTCCCTCACACCTCCTATCCTTACCCTCACTCCTCCCAGTGTTGTTCTGCTCGTTACGGACAAACGGCAATCGACAAAGGACGACGTTTCGGCGAGTTTCAATCGGGTTAAAAGTTATTAATTGTCTTTGGAGTAATTGCGGCAAAGTGTGTTGTATTGTCACAGTGGCAGAGAGTTGCTGTGTTGGAAATAACGACTTAATTTTCGAATATTAGGGTAGGTTATTTGAGATTTAAGGACGTGTACTATTTGGATATTAGTGTCGAAATAATATTTGATTCTTATTAACGATTTAATTAAATGAAAAGTCTTTTAAGATAACGTCGTATTTTGGTAGAAAAAGCTAGTTTAGTTTTTGGAAATTTAAAACCGCTGTTCTAAAAATGGTCTATTGACTTGGTGAGTGTCTCAATCGGCTCTGACTCACCACAGTATATTATGCAATTTTTATATTGTTTGTTTTATATTTTATTTATCTAAAACCTCTAAAAAATTTAGCAAAACTATTTTTTATGTAACAATATTTTTCACTGTACTGTTTCCAACATTGTTTATTAATAAAATATAACTCAAACGTAACAACTTTAATGAAATTAGAGTACAAAGCTTACCGCCGCCGGCCGCCGTCAACTACCTACGAGCACTAACAACTCTATGTTGGGACAAGGTCTTTTTTGCAATAAAAAATAGTAATTTATTAAAACGACTCGATTTATTTTGTTTATTATTCTAAATTCAAACATTACAATATGATCTAGATAATTTTATAACATTTTTGTAACTTTGCAAACAAATCACTTTTGATAAACTTGGGAACAACGAAGATACATCAAAGGAGACCAAAATTTCACCTCCATGCAATGGTATATTTTTAATTTTGTTAATGAATTCAATATTATTTTTAACTGAGAAAGAACGAACTCCCTTGATAACCTGCTGATGATGCTAACATGGTTAGCGAAACGCGCGTCCAGTGTAAAAGTAAAAGTGTTTTGGTGTATTGTGGTGATTTAGTGTTTTATTTTGCTATGTAGCACCAAAAGTTCCAACCCTCAACTGTAATAAAAATGAAGCGTTTAGAAATATCGAACTCTTCGTCATTATTCACTTTTAAAGCTTCAACCATTTTCTGCCTGACACTAAGAGATATATTTTCGTCAAAAATGATAAGGCTTCAGAACTAGGGTACCATAAATGGTTTCGAAACTTATCAAGTACTGTATTAGATAAGTTTTTATCGTATAACGCATACATCATTTTTTTTTTTGAATTCAATTGATATTTTTCTATTTTTAAAATAAAAATGTATTGTTACAGGGTAGACATCTTCAAATCAACGTCAATGCTGGGGTAATTATCAGCAACCAGAGTTTAGTTCTTCAAGGAGTGTCTAGAGCAACTGCAGGCAACTACACGTGTGTGGGTTACAACACAGAAGGAGATGGTGAAAGCAACGCTTTCTATTTGAACGTTATGTGTAAGTATCTTGCGTTTTTCTCAAACTATACAGGGGGAGTTTTAAATAAGTACAAATATTTTCAGGGCTGGTAGATCTCAATAAAAGAAACACGTTGCCATATTATCAACAAAAAAAAATCCAAAAAATTCCAAATTTTTTAAAAAAATTTCGCGGAAAAAATCTCACGATCGTGTTTCTGGGGTCGAAATATACTAACCCTAAAATATTTGCACTTATTTAAGACGCACCCTGTATAAATATAAATAACGTCTTTATTTTTAACGAAGCATATGCAAAAAAGTAAATAATAATATAATCCTTCATTCATAAAATAAGGGATCAATCCTTCTAAAGTCGTTTTTATATTCAGCTTCTTTTTATTTTTTAAAATTCTGCATTTTTTTCAATTCAAAAACAAAACCGATATCAAAATAAAGCGGTTTGTAACAAGCGTCCCATTTACCCGGAATTACGAATTTATATATTCAAAAAGCTCCTGCCAGCGATGAGAGACAACGAGAAAACCCTTTAAAATAAAGCATGTAACTTTCTTTTAAAGAGTCTCCAGAGTTTCTTTTAACAACAACTTTTTGGCCCTACTAAAAGACATAACTGATGTTTTTATTTTTTTTTGCTTTTCCTTAATTTGAATTTTCTTTTACTTCGACTTAATTTAAGTTTAAAGTTATTGAAATAAAAAAAAATTAGTAGACGAAATATGTTTTTAATGAAATACAAAATGAAAGTTTTAACAATATATACAGTGTGACCCACTCAAGACCGGGCACCCTCCATAAAATCTGTGTTTATAGTCCGATTTTGATGATTTTTTTTCAAATATAAAGTTTCAAAAAATGTACTTTAGGGCTCAATGTCATGTTATTTCACAAAAAACAAGGCCTACTTAATAAAGTTTTTGTGGTGAAAAATTTGCAAAATCATATTAGCGATTTTTTTTCAAAAAATTTGAGTACACCCCTACATTCGGCATCCCTCAAAACAGTTCTGTACCAAATTTCGTTTAAAAATATTAATTATTAATAATTCTGCAGTTAAATTAAATAATTCCCTATTTTTGCCAATTTAACGATGAGTTATAACGTAACCCTTGAAAAAAACAATCCACAACAATGGGTTTTATTAGCTGTCAATTCTTGCAGCGTAGAATTGAATATTAATTTAATAGCACGCAGAAAAGTGTTGTATCAAGAAATATTATTTGCATTATGGAACAATTAAATATTAGGGATAAAATTGAAATGATTCGTTTAGTGGGTGATAACTATCTTCAAGCAGGAGAAGCTGCCAGAGAATTTAACAACAGACATCCCGACAGACCTGCAGTAAGTAGAAGCACGGTTCAACGAATAAATAGAGTTTTTAATGAAACTGGTTGTGTGTCAAAATACTTACTAAAAAACAGAAGGCCGGAACATTGAATAAATAGGCGGAATGAGGAAATATTAGAATATTTTCGTAACAATCCTCGTGCAAGCATTAGAGGCGCCAGTGTTGATTTGGATATACCAAGGGAAAATATTAGGAGATGTTTGCGAACTAATAAAGTTAAACCCTTTAAACCAAAGATTTTACACACTTTGGAAAACGGAGATGATGTTAGACGATTAGAATTCTGCTTATGGGCTCAAGCAGAGTATTTAAATAATAGAAATTTCTTAAAAGAAATTTTATTTAGTGATGAGGCAACATTTAGTACAAACGGAGTAGTATCCTCTCAAAATTCGCGATTCTGGGCAGTCGAAAACCCTGAATGGGTGATCAATACAAGAAGACAGTATTCTCAGAAATTAAATGTGTGGTGTGGCATACTTGATGATAGAATCATTGGTCCATATTTTTTTGAGAGAAATTTGAATAGTCCAACGTTTTTGAATTTTCTGATTAATGACTTTTGGGATGCAATACATAATTTACCATGCCAAACCCGTTTGAATTTAAAATTTCAATTGGACGGATCACCTGTGCATAACGCGGCAGTTGTCAGGGAATGGTTAAATGAAAATTTTGAAAATAAGTGGATAGGTCGAAATAGCCCGCTAATTGAGTGGCCACCGGAGATCCCCGGACCTAACACCCCTTGATTTCTTTCTTTGGGGTTTCTTAAAAGCAACAAGTTTACAAGTCTAGACCTCAATCTGTAGGATGAATTACGTATTAGAATTACAGAGGCTTCTGCAAATATTACACCACAGCAGCTTAGGAATGTAACTGTTAATCTAAGAAAAAAGATGCGACAAATGTATTGAACTGAATGGAGGGCTGGTAGAAGCAACTAGAATTATTTGAATATGTTTAACTTATTATTCGGTTATTGTGTTGCTTGTAGTATTTTTATCATTGTTTGTAATAAAACTCGTTGTCGTGGATTGTTTTTCAAGGGTTACTTGAAACTCATCGTTAAATTGGCAAAAATAGGGAATTATTTAATTTAACTGCAAAATTATTAATAATTAATAATTTTAAACGAAATTTGGTACAGAACTGTTTTAGGGGATGCCGAATGTAGGGGTGTACTCAAATTTTTTGAAAAAAAATCCCTAATATGATTTTGCAAATTTTTCACCACAAAAACTTTATTAAGTAGGCCTTGTTTTTTGTGAAATAACATGACATTGAGCCCTAACGTACATTTTTTGAAACTTTATATTTAAAAAAAAAATCATCAAAATCGGACTATAAACACAGATTTTATGGAGGGTGCCCGGTCTTGAGTGGGTCACACTGTATATACAGTACAGAATGAAAGTTAGACAGAGAGGGAGTTGAAATTTTAATTTAAAAAGAGACTAAAAAGTCAAGAGTGAAAACAAAATGTTGATATTTTGGTGAAAGTTTGAAACACCCTGTGGAGTAAGTTAGCGATGCAATTAATTTAAAAATAATTTTATCATCTCGGAACGCTTTTCCTTGATAGTTTGCTTTTTGATTCATTTCAATAGCTTTATTTTTATCGGAGATATTCGC